GATAATCGGCTGAATGTAACAGAGGAACTAACGTCTAATAACAAGACGAGGATTTTTAATGTCCAGTCCAGGCTCACAGAGGCCAAACACATTAACTGGAGAGCGGTGCTGAGCAACAGCTGCCTCTACATCGAGATCCCGGGCGGCGCTCTGCCCGAGGGGAGCAAGGACAGGTGAGGGCCGGCCTGTGTGCAAGGAGGAGGGAAGCCTGAGTCAGGAGACAGATGGGTTGTTCATGTTCTGGAATGGGGGTTCTCCTTTTAAGCAGTGGACCAGCAGTTACCACCCAAGGGATGAGGGGAGGGGGTGTTACTGCTGGCCTCAAGTAGGTGGGGCCAGGGGCACCCCACAGTGTCTAGGAATGCCCCTTTGAGTGATCTGCCACCAGTGTCCGTAGTGCTTTAGATGACCCTGGATTAGACCTGGGAGAGATTGGGGTTCAGACGGAAGTGGAAGAATCAGGCTGAGGCCCCGGTAGTGGTGCGGGTGGGCAGCTCCTGATGCTGGAACTTCAGCTTCGCAGTTCTTCTTGAGTTTGCTGAAGAGCAGCTCCATGTTGACCACGTCTTCATTTGCTTCCACAAGAACCGCGATGATCGAGGTAGGTTGACTGCCTTCCTCAGATTCTCCAGGGGTGAGAGGAGGGGGAGGCCAGGTAAGGAGGTGGAGCCCATGGAGTCCAAGACTCAGGCCTTGGTCTCCAGACTCTGGGCCCTGATTGTGGACAGGAGTTCCGACTTAATTGTGTCTCTTCTGCAGCCGCCTTGCTCCGTACCTTCAGCTTTTTGGGCTTTGAGATTGTGAGACCGGGGCATCCCCTTGTCCCCAAGAGACCCGACGCTTGCTTCATGGCCTACACATTTGAGAGAGAGTCCTCGGGTGAGGAGGAGTAGTGCGTGGCCCCGGGGCCACTCGGGCCTCCATTGCAGTCCCGTCTGTGTGCTTCGCGCCGTGCCTGCTGCGGGTGGTGTGATCAACTGCGCTGACCAGCGTCAGCCTGCTCACCTGCTGGTTTGTCCGCATGTTGTAATTGTGCAAATAAACGCTCACTCCAAATTAGCCGTGTATTTCTTGAAGTTTAATATTGTGTTTGTGATACTGAAGTATTTGCTTTAATTCTAAATAAAAGTTTATATTTTACTTTTTTATTGCTGGTTTAAGATGATTCAGATTATCCTTGTACTTTGAGGAGTTTCTTATTTGAAAGTCTTTTTGGAACAGTCTTAGGTCTCTTAACTTGGAAAGATAGGTATTAATCTACCCTTCTATTGCTCTCAGAAATCCAAATAAAAGTGATTATCCCTCTTAAAAAAAAAAAAAAAAAAAGAATGGCTGTATGAAAAAACCTAAATAAATTCTGCAGAAGGTTTGGAGAGAAGGGAACCCTCTTACACTGATGGCAGGAATATAAATCAGTACACCCACTAGGGAGAACATTGTGGAGGTTCTTAAAAAACTAAACATAAAAGAACCAAGAGGCCGTCAATTTCCTGCCTAGGTGTAGATCCAAAGAAAACCAAAATTTAAAAAGCCACTTGCACCCCAAAGATCATGGCAGCACTAGGTACAATAGCCGAGCCACAGAAGCAGCTTACAAGGACAAATATACAAGTAAATATACAAGGACAGATGGATGGATACAGAAAAATGGGGTACATATATATGATGCAATATTAATCAGACACAAAGAAGGGTGAAATCATGCCACTTCCAGTTACAGGGAAGAAACTGGAGATGATGGTGCTAAGTGAAGTAAGTGAGAAAGATTGAGACGAGTGTCATAGGTTATCACTTCCAGTGGAAACTAAACATAGACACATGTGAACTTATTTACAAAAGAGAAACAGCATCACAGACTTAGAAAAGAAATGCATGGATACCAAAAAAGAAAGGCAGAAGGACAGGGAGCAATGAGCTGGTTCAGATCAATATATACACTTTGAAACAGGAGCTGAAGGGCTCTAAACAGTCACAAGTCTAACAGGGCTGTAAATGACACCTGCCCTCAAGAAATGTCCTGGGTAAATCACTGGAAAAGAATTCCAAACAGGGCCAACTTTCAAGAGGTAAATTGTAATCACAAAGTGTAAAATAAAAGCACATGGAAAGATGCTCCACATCAATAATTATTAAGTCAATGGCAATCAAACCACAATGAGGTGTCACCTCACGCTGGTCACAGTGACCATCACTGAAAAGATCTACAAAGAATAAATACTGCAGAGGATGCACGGAAAGGGGAGCCTTCCTACAATCTTGGTGGGAATGTAAACAGTGAAACCACAACGGAAAACAGCATGGAAGGTCCTTGAAACACTAAACACAGAGGTATCATACGATCCTGCAATCCCATTCCTGGGCTTAGGTCCAGAGAGGATCACCGTTCAAAATGTCACGCGCACTTTGACTTTCAGGGCAGCACTATTACAACAGCCAAGACACAGAATTCACCACTGACAGAAAAATGAAGACCATGTGCTACATCTGTACACTGGAATACTCCTCAGCCACAAAACAGAACAAAAGATTGATACTGGCAGCAGCAAGGATGTACCGAGAAATTATCATCCTAATGGGGTAAATCAGGGAGAAAAAGACATATCCTACAGGAGCACATACAGGTGGAACCTATAAATTCATCCCAATGAACTGGTGTACAAAACAGAAACAGACTTTCAGACAGAGAGAACCAAGCTGTGATTATCAAAGGACAGTCAGAAGGGAGGGGTACATTAAGAGTTTGGGATGAAAATAAACAAATAGATACTGAGTCAGTCGATAATGAAAAAGGACCAACTGAATAAAGAGGGAACTCTACTGAACAAACTATGATAACCTATCTGAGGAAAAAACAGGAAAAAAAATAGATATGCATCTATGTATAACTGAATCAAGTTCATGTACACCTAAAGCAAACAAAATATTGGAAATCAACTCTACTCCAATATAAAATAGCAAATAAATTACAAATTAAATTATCTGAGCTTGGTCTAGGGGAAACCAGACAGTTGTGACCCTATGAATTGCATATGTGATATGCTATGATATTAATATGACACCTCCAAAGGTTTTCACTCAGCAGAACACAGAGCAGCAACCCATTCAAAGGTGCCTGACCTCATGTGAATGTAAGAAGATTAAGAAAACTGACCACAGGTTAATCAAGGCAACACCCTCAATTCAGATGTTGGAAATCTCATCAGGGACAAGACACTGCAGGTAAACAGCAGATATGGAGTCTCTGGATACAGGATCCTGACCCATGTGGATGGGGTGAGACCCGCACCATCCCCATACCCTGTACCTGGAATGGCATGACCCTTGGTTAGGACACCACATCTCTGCTTGTTGGGTCCTTAAGGCAGAAGTGAGTGGATTTCTGTAAGCTCCTGGGATGGTCGAAAGAAGTGCAGGGTCGGTCTTCTCTCCACACACTTGTCCCAGAATCGTCCTCTCCTGTTCCCTTTGGTTCTGTGTGATGTTAACTGCTTTTACAGCTGTCATGATAATGGTGACCACACCACCTTGGTCTGGCAGGCTCAGTGCTTTCTCATCCCACTGAAGTATTGAGAAAACACATCACACACAGGCTGGGAGCCGAGGGGCAGGTCTGCTCTCTGCTGAGTAAGGACCGTCGACCAGAAGGAGGTCCCAGCAGCAACCTCACTTGCCCTTTGACTTTTTGTCTGGTCCATGTGCCCTGCAATCAATTCACCAGGTGAAGCTACCTCCCTACTCAACCTGAATGTGCTGGTAAATTGGAATAATTACCAGGTAGCCCACCTGAGGAGTCTCCAGGAACCCCAGACCCCTGAGGAGTCTCCATGGGGGTAAAGAGGCAAACAGGCCCATGCCTGTCTAAAGTGAATACTGTAAAGCATTAACTCCTAAACACAAAAGAAATTCATGTGTATTCTTCCCTTCTTCTTAGCTTTGAAGATTTTCAAAATAAAAAGTTTAAAAAAAAAGTTAATGTAAACGAATTTTGGTTCATGGCACTTTCTGAAGTCATTCCACAAATATTATAAGATGTAAGAGATGAATGTAGCTATTTCATGTGTCCACTGACAGAAGAATGGACAAGCAGACCATGGCGCATACACACAATGAATGTTGTTCACCCTGAAAGGAAGGCAGTTCTGACACAGGCTGCAGCGTTGATGGACCCTGAGTGCATTATGCTCAGGGACATAAGCCAGACACGGAAGAACTTGTGATGTCTGAGTCTGCTCACATAAGGCCTAGAGTAGTCGGCTCCACAGACACAGAAAGCAGGATGGTGGGTGCCAGGGGCTGAGAGAGGGGAATGGGGACTGAGTGTCTCGTGGAGACTATCTCAGTTTTGCAAGATAGAAGTATTTCTGGAGATAGCGGTCATGGTTGCACACCAGTGTGATGGGCCCTGAAATGCGCACTTCAACAGGGATTAAGATGGCAAATATTACGTGTATGTAACCACAAATTTTTAAAACTTAAAAACAGAAAATAGTCCATGAATGCAATAAGATGTACAACTTTCCTAATAATGAGGGATTGAAACCATAAGAATAAGCTATGCATACACTTGCCAGACTGGCAGACAGGAAAATCACAGTATCAGATGCCAGACTGGCAGACAGGAAAATCACAGTATCAGACACCAGTAGGACACGGAGCAATGGGAAGCCTGGTGCCGCAGGGGTGCGACCACTTCTGAACCTATCCAGCCTCAGACCACAGGGTCCAAGCACACACGGCCCACAGTGCTGCTCCGACATGAACACAAACCCACAAGCACCGTGCCAGGACACACAGGCATGGACTCTGCACCCTCAGGAGCCAGACCCGCAACCAACCTAACGGACATCATGAGCAATGTAGAGATGAAGCATGCAAGCTCAGATGAGGGAATGCTCCAGAGCCATCAAGTCAGTTTGTGTTTAAAGTTAGAGTATTAAAATTATCTTTAAAAAATTTTACCCCCCAGATGAAAGAATCAGGGGCACATTGCTAAGCCACCCAGGGGGCCAACCAGCACACACGCACAGAGCGGAGCTGGGTGAGGCCAGGCAGCATGCCTGGGGGACTACGCGGACAAGACCACCAGCTCAGGGGCGGAGGACAGCGACCTCAGGCTGGGGGAGCAAGCTGCGACCGGAGAAGGTGCTCCTGGGTGTCTGCTCATCCTGCTCTGTCTTGTGATCTTTATGATTAATTGTATACGTGTATGCAGTGTAATCCTTACTATATAATTAAGGCTAGTCATTTTTCTTTATTAAAAAGTTCAGTTCAGTTCAATTCAGTCCTCTCAGTTGTATCCAACCCCATGAATCGCAGCATGCCAGGCCTCCCTGTCCATCACCAACTCCCGGAGTCCACCCAAACTGTCCATGGAGTGGGTGAAGCCATCCAACCATCTCATCCTCTGTTGTCCCCTTCTCCTCCTGCCCTCAATCTTTCCCAGCATCAGGGTCTTTTCCAATGAGTCAGTTCTTTGCATCAGGTGGCCAAAGTATTGGAGTTTCAACTTCAATATCAGTCCTTCCAATGAACATACAGGACTGATCTCCTTTAGGATGGACCGGTTGGATCTCCTTGCAGTCCAAGGGACTCTCAAGGGTCTTCTCCAACACCACAGTTCAAAAGCATCCATTCTTCGGCACTCAGCTTTCTTTATAGTCCAACTCTCACATCCATACATGACTATTGGAAAAACCATAGCCTTGACTTGACAGACCTTTGTTGGCAAAGTAATGTCTCTGCTTTTTAATATGCTGTCTAGGTTGGTCATAACTTTCCTTCCAAGGAGTAAGCATCTTTTAATTTCATGGCTGCAATCACCACCTCCAGTGATTTTGGAGCCCAAAAAAATAAAGTCAGCCACTGTTTCCACTGCTTCCGCATCTATTTGCCATGAAGTGATGGGACCAGATGCCATGATCTTAGTTTTCTGAATGTTGAGCTTTAAGCCAACTTTTTCACTCTCCTCTTTCAATTTCATCAGGAGGCTCTTTAGTTCTTCTTCACTTTCTGCCATAAGGGTGGTGTCATCTGCAAAGGGGGTCTCCCAAACAAAGTAGAAGGGGATCTTCTTCTCACAGGAGAGAAATGAATGGTTTCTACCCGTGAAATCTCAATACCAGGACCGCGTCCACCACCAAGTCTGATGACAACCTGGTGAGCAGGGCGTGGGCACGGCGCCCGGAGGAGACCCCGGCCCGTGGTCGCAGTCACGCTTCTCAGGAGCCCCGCGTGCTCCCGCCCCTCGGCGTCCTGGGAGCACTCTCCCAGCTGGGCTGCTCCGGCACAGCTCGGCGGTCACCGTCACTGGGAGGAAAAGAGGAAGC